AATTTCTCAGAACAAGCTACTATTTATGGCACAGTTATACATTGTAATAATATTTCTAATTTCCTTCTACAATTGAAATGTAAAAAAAAAAAAAAAAAAGGAAAACTCATTTATAGTTATGCTTATATCATGTATCCCAATGATGTTTAAGATTATTTTCTTATCACAACATCTTTTACTGGTACATGCATACTGCGGAATGTCATGGTATCTAATTCTTGTACTGGATGACTTTTATTTGTCCTGAATTATAACACCCTACCCACAACCTCCCCTCACTGTCCACACTCAGTCCATCAGGAACATCTAGTGGACAATTGTCCACACACCTCAGCAGCTGTCCGTTCTGACTTAACACGTGTAGACATTCATTGTTCCCGTCCACCACAATGATGTGACCCGTGGAGTCCGTTACGATCTGTCTGGGACTGAACTTGAACATTGCTCCTGGTGGTTCCTTGTTGTATCTAAATACAACTTTCCCTTTCCTATTTACAGCTACTACGACTTCAGCATTCTGATCAGCGGCCACTATGTCTCTATTGTTGTTCTCCACCACATACACTGTGTACTCCCCTCCTTGATAGATTGGGTCGCCGTGTTCATCTTTCTCTATTTCCTGTGTCACCCCCTGCCCCTGATAACGGACTATTTTACATTGCTTGTAATTAGCGGTATGAAGAGTTACTAGGATGTCCCCTGACCTTGTACAACACAGCCCCCCTGGAAACCAGCCCACAGGTATAGTGATCAGTGTCTCTGTCTTCCCATCTCTGACAATGTTCACAGTTTTGCTTTTGACATCACTATATACCAATTCTCCCTGACTGGTTACTGTGATCTCAAAAGGATAGCTTTTACATGTAGTGGTGACCGTGCCTACAACTGAACCACTCATGTCAACACAGGTCAATACACTGTCTTCACAATTAACCCAAGCTTTATCTGATCCTACACAAACCACTTTATATAAGTTTGTAATATTTGTTGGAATGGTTGCAATCAATTTGGCTTCTTCTAATAATTCCTTAACAGATAAAAAGGAGACTTCATCTGTCAGACTGGATAGTGATGTCTGTGTCAGTGTAGCCTTGTACTCTCCTAATTCTATGCTGAGTTCTCTCCCTTGGACTGTGTTTGTTTGGAGAGAGGGCAATGGTAAATCAGGTATTTGTGGAATGTTCCTATATTCCTTCAGTTTGGATTGGTAGTTGTTGACATCAGACACTTTGTTAGACTTCAGGATTTCTTTGTTTTCTTGAACAGCTTGAATCATACTGGAATTCTGGCTTCTGAGTTTGGCCTGGCATAATTGTAGAGTTGTGAAATGATGATCTTTGAGTGACTGGATCAGGGATTCCATTTTGTTAAAGATGTTGTCCACCTCTAGGTGCCATTGTTTTCTTTGATCAGTTGCCTGTTTTTCAATATCTGCAAAGTGAACCACAGAAACTGACAGATTGTTTTCTACATCTGTATCTAATGCTGAATTTTTGGAAATTATGAGCTCAATCTCTTCATTTTCTCTATCAATTTCTTCTTTCTTCCTGACAATAATGTCCACCATGTCATCAAACTCATGACCTCTGTGGTTTGGACCAGTAAGACATTTGATGCAGACCGGGACATTACACTGTTGACAGTGGGCCTCACATCTCTGGTGGGAATGAGATGTACACTGAGGGAACACAAGCTGTACTGTACGCTTGGTGAAAGGAACAATGTCATGCTTCATGGACTTGAGGCTCTTGACATGTTTGTTGATGCAGTCTTCACACAGACCGACTTGGCAGCTGTTACAGAATTGTTGGACAGGTTTGACACAAAGGTCACAGGTTATGACCTCCTGACCCTGGACGGAAGCCATTGTTGATCCCATACACCAATCAGACCTGTGAATAAAAATAGACACAGGTCATAATCAGGAATTTGTAATCATTGAATCAATTGTTATGTATTGTTTTTATGGTAAAAGAATCGGTGTAACCTTCCTGATTACAAATAGAGAGAGGAGATATGTTACAATACGGTAATCACCTGGATAGACAAAGTTAAAGTCCAGACACTTTACAATAGAACTTACGACTAAGTCCAAAAACTTCAGGTAAATAATTTAAACAGTTATATCACTTGTAAACGGCGCTTGCATTAGCCACACCCCTAAAATATAGGTAATCAGAGATTACAGAGCTCACCCCCATGAATGTTGTCGTTGAGTTAGGCAAAGTCCAGCGTTAAGCTAATAATCTAGTAGTGTACATCCAAAGATGTGTGGCAGTCAGCCGGGTTCGATCACTGGTGGCCAGATAGCTCAGTAGGCAGAGCACCTGACCGGAGTTTCAGGGGGCCTGGGTTCGAATCCCGGTCTGGTCCGCTGCATTTTCTCCTCTCCCCTTCTATTTGGTGCCGTGACCAGGATTTGACAGGTGAAAGACCTGATAGGGATGAGCCTGGGTTGGGGTCTTTGGAGGGCCAAAGACCTTTAAGGAGGGAGGAATGTGGCGGTCAGCCGGGTTTGATCACTGGTAGCCAGATAGCTCAGTTGGCAGAGCACCTGACCGGAGTTTCAGGGGGCCTGGGTTCGAATCCGGTCTGGTCCGCTGCATTTTCTCCTCCCCCGTTACAGATGCAACAATTCTGCTATTTTGCTATCTAGCATCTAAAGCAAGCTTGAGAGTGTTCATCTATCATTGCATCATCCATGCAATTTAGGTCAACATAGTTTTCATAGTTATTTGGAAATTGGACCTCCACCAAAAACTTGAACCTGGTCACTCAACCAGAAAAAGTAGTCATATCCCGCATACAAAGCAAGCCTGGCAGAATGCATCCCTAGATTTATCATCCATGCAAGTTTGGTAAACATAGGGCTTACACATGTAGTTACTTGGAAATGAGACTTGCATCCAAAACTTTAACCTGCATCAAAAATGTTTACCTGCTCCAAAAACATCAGTTTGGTCATTCCTTTGTGGAAATTGCAGCATCTGAAACCTTGGCTGCTGCTGGTACAAAGAAACACATTAGAAGCATCCTCTATTTATCTCTGATTCATGTAGGGCATAGAAGTTCTTAAAAAAGAATACTGTACCAAAAACTTCTACCAGGTCAAAACTGGGCCAGAACATAGGCGCTTGGTTTCAGGATGGTGTGTTTTGTGTATCATGTGTTTTTCTAGGTGTGTCTGAATACCCTCATCAAAATAAAAATAAAAATTTGCTGAAATTAGCACGTTTTTTTAAAATGTCATATTAACTGTATATAAAAAAAGTCGAGCGTCACTCTCCATCTTGAAAATCAGGGGGTACCTCGGTTCACACATAATTTTCATCTATATCTTCATTTTTCCTACCAGTGGCGGGTGAGATCTAGTTTCAAAAATGATTGAATAAAGCCTTTCAAACGTCTGCCGATTTGAACTTGCCATATAAAACATGAGTAAACCCAAAACGTCCTCGATACCCAGCACAGAAATCGAAAGCAACGGAAGTGCCGATTTCTAACGATGAAAAATGCAGAGGCATCCTGAGTTACATGGAAAATCTAGAGAGGTCAGAAACTGCGCCAAATTTGTTCGCTCTAGATATTCCGTGTAATTACGGGACACCTTTACATTTTTCATCATTAGAAATCGGCACTTCCGTTGCTTTCAATAAATAGGTGCAAGAATCGAGGACGTTTTGGTTCTCTGCATGTTTAAAACTGCATTTGTAGGTCAACAGATGATAGGGAGTAGTCATTCAATCATTTTTGAAGCTAGATCTCACCCGACACTGGTAGGAAAAATGTAGATACAGATGAAAATTAAGTGTGAACTGAGGTACCCCCTGATTTTTAAGATGGAGAGTGACGCTCCTTTACTCTTTTTGTATACAGTAAATATGACATTTTTAAAACGTGTTAATTTCAGTGAATTTTTATTCTTATTTTGAAGAGGGTATTCAGAAACACGAAAAACACCTAATACACAAAATACACCATCCTGAAACCAAGCGCTTATGGGCCAGAAGAAACCTCTTACCTCTCTAGATGCCATTGTGATTGATGAGATCAATAAATCTCTGTATCTTAAGTTTAACAAATTATCAACCAGATGTCATTATTGTCATATAATATATTAGACCCTGCAATACCTTGCAGTTAAAAATTGTGGAAGGTTAACATTTTGCTACCAAAATATCTTGAACCCGGGGTTAATCTGTTAATAAATTATAGCCACAATTTTATATATCCACCAGCCTTGTTCTTGAGATTATTTAATGACCCCAGCATCTTTTTGTCTTTTCTTGATTACCTCCCCTTGAGAAGAGACTTGGTCCTTTAAATTATCAATTTAGACTCCCCTTTTATGGACCACATGAGAATCAAGTCTGTCTGAATTTTCCCGCGTAAAATGGGAGCACATATGAGCGTCTCCGTGACGTGAACATGGTGAAAATAACTGAAGGATTAAAGTATCACCTTTAACGAAGAAAGTTTAAAAAAAAGATGATTACCTGTCGACTCTTCATTCAGTGAAAGGAGACTTTAAGTCCCGCCTATAAAATCTGAAACAGCTTGTAGTTCGACTTCGTGATAACATGAAAGTATGGTGGGCTGTGGGCTGTCATATTGCAGGTGTATTGGGTGTTGCTAAAACGCGGAAACGAAAAGTATTGGTTAGTCTCATATTTCACAGGTGCTTGTGGACAGGAACCCACCCCCCTGAATATACACCCTGGGTCCAAAGATTTTTTTTTCATCTTTTGTTTATAAATTTGTCTTCTAGAACACATTCACATTGTATTCCATATTAAAAAATAACGTAGAATTAACGTTTTCTTCAAAAATCATACCCATGGTACCGTGGGTATGATTTTTTAATAAAACGTTAATTCTAAGTTTTTTTGGTTCTTTTTTTTTTTTATTTTTCATTGGTGTATATTCGGGGGGGGGGGGGTCCTGTCCACAAGCACCTGTGTCATATTCACTAAAATCCCTACCTGACATAGGAATTAGGGAGCAGAAATCTATACCCTACATACCTCGGTATATCGTCTCGTATCCTAATTGTATTTTCGGCCTATTTTTCCCAACCTGCTGCCCGTGCAGATACCGTGTGGTACAACATTATTTTCGGTTGCAACACTTGGAAAAATATCTTTCAAGCACAGCTGTATAGTGAATATACTCAAAATAATTAATTCATAGGATTTCCCCCCATGATTTTAGTCCGGTCTCAGAATTTCTATTCTTTTTATTGATTATTATTTTCCCTGTTGATTAATCAAAGCAATCGGTTAATTAAAAAGATTTTTAATAACATTTTTCCGAGAGAAAATTAAGATCTCTGTCAAATTTAAAGCGATGCATGCATATTATAATGAATGGGTGCACCAAACCATTTTTTTTTTCCTTAGAAGTTGGATATGGGCATTTTCTTACAGATTTTCACTGAAAAATGATACGTAGTTTTCATAGAAGTTGTTTTGAAGACAGATTCAACCAAACAAATAAAAGTCCAAAACATGCAACTTGTTCAATGTTTCTTTAAAGGACAGACAATCGTATTTTTATTGTTTGGAATATCCAACGGATATTTTAAAGCCAATACTGACTGGGTGTCAATACTTTAGATCGAAAACACAAGACGCTAATATTTTTGTTAGGGAAACGGCACCTTCCCCATATTATGGCTTATGAATAAAATAAACACAAAACTGCAATTTGGGTAATATTATTTTATTATAACAGACACATTTGCTATCCTTTTAAGTCCTTATTTTTTACAGATTCTGTGAAGTTTGCAATAAATTAACAAACAGCATCTAAATATGTCGAAAATACAATACTCCAGGATACATGGACACGGAACATTCGGACAGATAAAGCTTGTAAAAACCTCCGATTTACACACCGCCTTGTTTTGATCGATCACATCGGGTTTTCTTGTATTTTATGCTTTTCTCCGCTTCAAGAATCTGTTTATCATTTTGTCATGTCGATTTTGTAAACATTGTTTGGTCAGTCTGTCATCGGTCCGTGTAACATCAAACAATTCAAAATTTTAAAAATGATTTAGAGTTTTTGAATTTAATATTAGTTCAAATTTCTAAATTCCAAAAACTCAAACTGATTTGGTACATGTATATTGAAAATATTATAGTTCAAAAATCTAAATTTTCAAATTTCTACACAAGTTTTGAAATGTTAAGTTCTTAGATTTATATCATATATAATCTAATTTCAATTTCCAAAAACGATTTTGGTATTTTAAACTTATGAATTTTAAGCTATCGTTTGCTCAGAAAGTTTTACACTTAACAATATAAAGTTCAGAACCGTTTTACTTCTTTTGCTATTTTTAAATTAACCTAAAACTTCTAGATTTCAACTTTCAAAATGTTTTAAATTTTTAAATATTTGGAATATTGAATTAAACATTCAAATTTCAAAAACCAAATCACTGAGGTTTTAGAATTTTACTTAAAATATCCAAAATATCAAATTCCAAACCTTGTTTGAATTTAGAAACTATCTCAAAAGAGCTTAAATATTAAGAATATTGAAGAATATTGAACTGATACAGACATAGTTTAAAATTCAAACCAGTTTTCGTAATTGATAGATTGTTAGAGTTAGTTTTGAATTCCCTGAATTCTAAAACTTTAATAACATATACACTTTTATTGATAAACAACAATAATAACTCACAAAATCAGCGATACTCATTTCTTTGGTTTACTAGTATATTCGTGTAAAAACTTTTGCAAGGGTAAATGCGGGAATTTTATAAGATTCTGTAATAATGTTTTATATAAAAAAAAAAAACTGTGCATGGTTTTGTAACGTTTACATAGAAAACGGCACACAGTGGCATATTTCAGCACTATAAGGAAAATTCTTATTTCTTTATATTTTAGGGATTATTCATTCATGGGAAATTAATTCATTTCGTTTTAAAATCGATTAAGATATTGATAATGTTTGTACATGTATATCAATATATGCGATATGCATCCAATTTCAATTGTTTGTGATATTTATGTATCCTAAACATAATGTCTATAAAAACGGAGTGAAAACGAGTACAAAGGATGTGTCCCTTGGACAGAAATTGTTGTTGTTTTCCTCCCCAAAACATGTATTTTTTTTTTAAGAAGAAGAATGTATTAAAAATCAAATTCCAAATTTATTTTGAATTTATTTATTTGATGAATCCTTTTGTTTTTCTTGAAGATCTGGAAATAGAAAACATTTATCACATAAATTCAAGTAAGAGGAGAAGAATGTTTGCAAGTTAATGTAATTATAATGTCACTATACCTGAAGATTAAAATATACGTATACATAATTTTTAGTTTGTTGATGACAAGAATTTACTTGTATAATAGAGAGAAATACTGTAAATTAAAAAAAATATATATTCGCAGCTTTCGTATAATAATTTATAAAACAAAACGAGGCAATTATTGATGCAACATCCTTTTTCAGTAACTGATTTTCATTACAAATCATAAAACATTTTTTGAATTAGATATGTTAATTTTTCTACCCAATTTCATTTTACCCATAAAGAAGATTTTGTTATCTCCATTTTATTATTATTATTATTTTTTAATCATTATTTTTATTTTGTGATTTTTTAAAGAAGAAAATGTATATATTTGTTAATTTTTTTTAAATGTATATTTGTTAATTTAAAAAAAATTGTAAATTATTTTGTCAATTTTCCCAAGTAATAAAGACATGTTTGTAAGACGTTGAATCCTCTAAGTTCAGCGTCGTTTTATTCCTATTTTTGTACATATACACCTATAAATAGGAATCCAATTTGACCTTACCCTTGTCCCCCTCTGTACTTTCCCGGGACCCCGTCGGGGAGGGCGTGGCTGACCGGCTACTCTCCGTTATAGGGGGCAGTAGTGTCGCTGACGTCATCCCGGCAAACTGATTCTCTGGAGGACAATAACAAATCATTATTCTTAAATCATTCTGAATTATGTCAGAATTTATTTATAAAAAAATACATTTAAAAATAAAAAGGAAAATATGGACACATTAAAAAATAATATAAAAATGAATAAGGGTGTTATTCTTAATTATTTCAGTGTTATTTATGAAAATATTTTTGTAAAAGTAACTCGTAGTCACATTTCAAAATAAAAAAAATCAAAAAAAAATCATGAATACTAAGGTAAATAAATAATGAGACGAATAAAGGAAATAAATAGTATAAAATAAATGAATAAATAAATAAAACAGAGTGTCTAATATGAATTTGATTTTGTTTTTTAAATACGTGATTATGCTAGTCGTTTACAACAAAAGAATAAAGCGAGTAAAAAGGAATTGCTCAGAGTTGTAAATTCTGAAAATTATAAATTATAAACAATTTAATTTCAATACTACATTTTTTTAGAAATGACAGCTCTGTCGTATTTTTTCTATCATAATCATGTTCATATGATTTTCCACCGACCCCTTGATTGTTTTTCTTCGGATTTTAAAATATTTAAGAGAGATGAATGCTGATTTTTGTGTCATCTTCAAATTGCCATTTGATATATAGCTTTGCTTTCTTAAAAAGAAGAAAACAAGTTAAAAAATATTTAACTCCCCACCCAAATATTGTAAATTGAAAGATCATTCCTGTAGATCTTTGATTATTCTGTTACATCAATAGAATATAAAACAACAACATATATATCCACAATTTTAATTATTTTTTAAATTTATTTTCAACTTCAGAAATCTTTTACCTGCTGAACACATTTGTTTAAAAATTTCGAACAAAAATTCTCCATGTTGTTCACTGATGGCGCGGAAGTCGTCCTGGGACATCTGAAGCAGCCTCCGTCCGTCCAGATCCTGGAAACTGTCCACCAGGCTCCCCGTCACCTCGGAGTCCATCTTGTATTCCTCCGCTACATACTCCAGCCAGCCGGCCAATTCCACCGACGTCCAGTTACTGGGATGTAGTGTGGCCCAGCGGGGAGGAAAACCTATCATTACAGATATTTTTTAAATTTCTATCTTATTTTTTTCCTTTCATAATTTATTGTACCATTCTTCTTCAAATCACCCCATTTTATCTGCGAAATAATATTTAGCATATACCATCCTACATACATTTTATTATTATTTTTTTAAAATTACTTTTTGATTTTAAGTTTTTAAAATTATAAATATTATAAGTCAGTAATATTCTAATATCTAAAGCATCTTGACACTTAATTTTGAAATACTTGCCTTGATTGCGAATTTAATCTTTCTTTAAAGTATAAAAAATTATTCAAATACAGTACCTTTATCCAGCTTGAATTTTAATAGGGGTCTTGTTAACACGGCCCAACTTTGAAACCATACCCGGTATTTCCAATATCAAATATAAACAACTTCTAAACTGTCCAATGGCAAACTTTTAAATCATAGAGTTCGACCAGATAAAATTTTGTAGGTTTCTTTGAAACTAGAAAATCTATATGACGTAATACCTAAACAGAGTAACCAGGAACGTTTGAATGCAGTTGATAATTTAATTTTAGAAATCGATAGTAACACTAGGAATTTACTCAACATTAAATGAATGGAGCAAAACCCGGAAGACTTTTGATTGGTCAATGGCGTGGGAATTTGAAGAGTTCCCTGAATGAGGAAGTACCGCGCCATTTTTGAGAGATCCTAATCAATGAGTCAGTTTGGTGCACCTGACATTACACGTAGACTAAGGCACTACCGGATCTATCTCTCTGATTGTCTTAGACAGCATGGACTTACATAATACTCTTAAAATAGCGCTAATTCCTCTTTTAAATCTTAGGCTTTGACATACAGTTTGAATTCAAAGAGTCTGATACACAGTTTAAAAATATATATGTACCATAACTATGCAAAAAAATAAATAATAAAAATGGATGTCTATATAGTGTACAATGTATTTCGTAAACGCACTTAATATAAGCTTATACGAAAGATAGATTTAGCATCCGCTTTTAAAAGTGGGACAGATAGAAAAAATGACAGTTTTACTGACGTACTTTGTTTTCAAGCTGTCCCACTAGATCCAACACTACTTTACTGACGTATAATTATGGACCAAAAAGGAAGGGATGGGGGGGGGGGATGAAAATCCTATTTCTTGTATATTTGACTGTACTGCAGGAGGGGGGGGGGTAACCTTTTAATTAACATTCATAACAGTAAAGTTTATGTTAAAAAAATGGAGCCAGCCCTTTCCATCTGAGCCTGATACTAAGTGCCTGTAATATGGATTTTAAAGGTTAAGATAACGATTATTGAGCGATCAAAATTTTAAATAGGGTACCCTGATCGAGTAAATCAAAGATGGATCAGTTGCCCAGGAGAGAAAAGCATCCCTTGTTTACCAAGTAAACAATATTCCATGGTCAGTTAGCACCAAAAGAACTAAATGTTTAACCCTTTGGACTTATTATCAGTTTAATAAATAGAAAATGAATGAAATACTATACATTTTCAAACTTCTCTGTATTCTAGTACATAATTACGTATATATGTATGAGGTTAAAAATTATAGGCATAAAACATAAAAACAGCACGGCATGAAACGGACAGCTTGAAATTCAAGTGGAGGGATTAGGTCCCAAGGAGGAATAAGCATCCCCTGTTGGCCGGTTATAACCGACTTGAGCCCTTTGTATTAATCAACGAGAATGAAAGTTCCGTAGTCTAATTTAATGTAAAACAAAGGCCTAGCAATTGGCTTGAAGTAAGGGACCCCAAAAAGACCCAAATTTATCTTATATTTTCCAGTATGGTCATTAAAGCGACCAAAGAATTTACGACGTGCTGACTTTCAACATTAACGAGTATGCTGAAACCCCTGTAACATCCACTTATTTGTGATTAGCCTGCCTCGGTTTAAAAAGTTGACAGTACTTGGAGCATTCTCTTTATTTGCAAATACGATGGGAGACGTAGATACCTTAGGCAGGTGATAGTGAAGTGTTACATCAACAAGAAAAGTTAATGATAGAAAAACAGGAATTATATCGATATCATACAATAAAATTGTTAGTTAGCCCTTATCCTCAATATTCAGTAAGACATTCAGTTATGAAACAGATGACCACGTAACGTCTTTTATCGTAAGATCACTGAAATATTCTGTCTGACATTTTTCATACTAATTGTTCGGCCATTATTTACACTGTGAGGTGTCAGCGGATGTGTCCGTTATTTCCCGATCATGACAGGGAACACACAGTGGATTACGTGTGACAGGAGGGCAGGGGATACTTACTCCTCCATGGCAACGGATCCCATCTCTGGTGTTTTAGAGATCCGTGTTTGCTCTGCTCCTAATTTGCATTGTTTGAATGGCTTTTGGGCTTGAAAATTGGGCTTGAAGTTATCTATAAGGAGGATATTCTTCAAAATCACATGTCAGTTTTGAATATTTTGAATATCCCAAAGTACAAAAAGGATTTTGAACTACGATATATATGTTGGATTCCGAAACTTCATAAGAATCCTTACAAACAAAGATACATAGCGGGTTCCAGTAAATGTTCAATAATGCTTCTTTCTTTACTCCTCTCTGAGATATTAACAGCAGTGAAGGAGAAACTTCAAGAGTACTATACAACAATATATTCAAGAAGTGATGTAAAGAAATGGTGCAAAGAAGTTCCAAGGAACTTCTGGACAATTTGAAATCACGAAATTTTACCAAAAAATCAACAGCTTAAAAACTTACGAATTTTCAACTTTATACGCAACCATTCCTCACGGTAAATTATAGTCCATTCTTTTCGATATCATTGACAGCTGCTTTTGCAATAAAAATGGAACTCGTAAATTTACTTACCTGGTCATTGGTCGTTTGCAAAATTATTTTGTTGAAAACAATTTGATTGTACACACAAGTACTCTGAAGTCGACATCAAAACGATGCTTGAGTTTCTGATTGACTATATCTATGTTGGTTTTGATACCAGGTCTTCCAAAAATCTATTGGAATTCCCATGGGTACCAATTGCGCTCCGCTATTAACAGACCTATTTTTGTATTCATATGAAGCAGAATTTGTGCAAAATCTTACGTGTTAAAAGAAGAACATCCAACAAATACTTCTAATCCAATATGACAAAGTGTCACGTCGAATTATATGGAGATGAAACATATGAGATACATAAACTCCATATGCAACAAGTAAAATATCCAAATATAAAACATTTGTGTCAGACTCTGTGGTATCTTTTAATTCAAGCTCACCAGGATATATCGTATCGACATAAGAATGGAAATTACCATTATTAATTGACAATACGTCGTCGATATATCTTTATGTTGAGTTGAAAGCCACAGTAAGTGTTTCCTTCTTTTCACGCATAAGATTTTGCACAAATTCTGCTTCATAATACAAAAATAGGTCTGCTAATAATGGAGCTCAATTAGTACCCATGGGAATAGCTTGTTGGAAGACCTGGTCTCCAAAAACCACATAGATATTGTCAATCAGAAACTCAAACATCTTTTTGGTGTCAACTTCAGAGTATGTATGCGTGCAATCAGAATGTGTTTTAACAAAATAATTTTGCAAATGACCAATGACCAGGTAAGCAAATTTATGAGTTCCATTTTTATTGACAAAACATCTATCAATAATATTTAAAAGCCTGTTCTGTAATTTATCGTGAGGATTGTTTGTGTATGAAGTTGAAAATTCGTAAGTTTTTAAGCTGTTGATTTTGGTAAAATCTTGTGGTTTCAAATTGTCCAAAAGTTATTTGGAATTTTTGAGCATCCACGTCTGATTCAAACAATTTCTTGAATATATTATTGCACAGTACTCTTGAAGTTTTTCCTTCACCACTGTCTATATTTTAGTGAGGCGTAAAGAAAGAGGCATGGTTGAACATTTACTGGAACCCGCAATGTATCTTTGTAAGATTCGGAATCCAATATATATGTAAGACTCCAGAGTCCGATTGTGACACCAAAGTCCGATGGTATTGCCAAACCCCGATGGTCTGCGCCAAACTCCGATGGTTTGTTGTAAGTACGGACGCCAAAGTGCGATGCCAATCCAAAGTCCGATGGCTCGTTTCCTATGAGACTAGCTGCGCTAAATTACAAAGGTCCGATGGTGCGGAGAAACAATCAACGTTTGTGACGTAACAATAATCCAACGTCAATCTGTGACGCCGTTGTCCTGCATTCAAAAGCCATCATTTCTGAATTTGTTCTCGCATACAATTTTATTGTTTTTGCTTATTCAGAGGTACTAAGTACTAGGATTAGTCCTCGCACACCACTCGACTGATTAGGTTAGTTCTTGCTTCGCACCAACTTTAGATGTTTAGGATTAGTCCCCGTTAATTGTTTTCCGCACCATCGGACTTTGGCGTGACAAACCATCGGGGTTTGGCGTAGACCATCAGACTTTGGCATGTACTTCGGACTTTGGAGTCCCATCGCACCTTGAAGTCTTACATATATACGGTGGTTCAAATTCATTTTGGTTCTTTAAGATATTACAAATATTCAAAACTGACATATGAATTTGAAGAATTTCTTCCTTAGAAAGGTAACGATGAGCATAGGTTGGATTACCTCTTGTAGAATTAGAAAAGTTCTTCTAAAATACAATTTATATAAAAAGCCTTACAAACGAAGCTTCTCAGCAGGAACCAGTACGTGCTAATCATGTAATCTATCTAATTCTATTTTTCACATCTGAATTATTGAATACAGAAGGATATATGTATTTCATATTGCCCCTCAATTAATACGATCTTTTAATTATCAACAAAGCACATAAAAAACTTCGATATTCATTTTGATTGTATTATATTAAAAAACCTTGTTTTTAATTATCTTGGGTGATTATTGTATATGATAATATAATTTTATTTCTCCAATTTTTGGCCCAGAATTCGAAGGCATACACGGTTTTTACAATGATAAGATAGAAAATTCTGAAAGAAAGGTTACATATACACCAGTAAACACACACAAACACACCC